TTCTCTTTCTCACTCTCTCCTCCTCTTTTCTCATTCTTCTCTCCCTCCTCTTCTTTCTCCTCCCTCTCTCCTCTTCTCTCCTTCTCTCTCTTCCTCTCTCTTCTCTCTTCTCCCTTTCTTCCCTCTCTCTCTTCCTCTCTCCTCCTTCTCTCTCCCCTTCTCTCCTTCTCTCTCTCCCCTCTCTTCTCCATTCTCCTTCTCTTCTCTCTTCTCCCTTTCTCTTTCCCTCTCTCCCTTCTCTTCTCCCTCTCTCCTCTCTGTCTCCTTAATATTGAAAAAATAAACATATTATTTAGTGTCTATCAAGACCCCCACCACCCAAGGCAAAGTGAAACTCGGTTCTGCAGAAGTACATCCTACTTCTTAAAAAAAACTCAATCCTTTTCCTTGTGCGATTCCTGGTAGTTGCAAACCGGCTGTGATGCAATGGGGGATCTCTCACCGGGCCGGCTGTCATGAGGATTATGCAATCACACGCGGGATTAGGATGTAATGGGATGAAGTCACAAAGAATATTGCTGAAGTGATTTTCCCGGATATCCTGATTAGGTATTGATAAGCGGGTTTGTAATGTAGGCCCTATAGTAGATGTTAAGGATAGGGATAGGCCTATATTTTTCTCATCTGCAGGAGATTGATTGATGTTACGAAATGGTAGGAAAGACCTTATAAAAACATTTCTGTCAGTGTGGATTCTAAAGAAGGTTCGAGAATCCGGCGGGTTGTAGAAAGATGACCGATTTAAACCTTGGCGGTGACACGTAACAAAAAAAAAAGGCCCATCTAGATTCTGTATTTTCGTTGGTCCAATATAAACAAGTTTATTTTATTCGATTATTAACATGAATTGCTATTGATGCAATTGATATGTAATTACTTTTGCCCAACAAGTATATAGTTACGTAAAGTGCTTGCGTATGCTTATGTAAGGAGAACTGAGATGACCTCATCTGTTCTCTATGGAACAATGACGTTATGTTTCTCGAAAATTGTAACATCTTTTAATTGTCTGTGTAATTTGGAAGGATATGACAGTCTAACCATTTAGAGCAAGCGAAACAGTTCTTTATGTAAAATCCGGTACTTTTGCCTTTAATTTTTACACTTTCGTCATAATATATACTCTCCATCAATGCAAAAGTAAGTCAGTGTTTATAGAACTCATGTGTTGCTGCGAAGTGAAGATTTGGAAATTTAGAAAAAATGTATGCCGGAGGATGGCCATAAAACGTTTCCAAGAAAAAATTCCGCAAGAGAATGTGGCAACTCCCATGCGTCAGTGTGACGTCACTCAACGTGCCGAGGAAAGTTACCACTTGTTCACATATTTCCAATAACCTTGTGGCTTGTTATCGCTAAGGTAGTTGAATGAAATTGACGTTGAGCTTAGGCTGTTAGTAACGGTGAATGTTTGAGCGATTGAGAGTTTGAATTATAGAATTGATTGGTATTGGCGTCGGCTGAGTTGCCGATTAGCAGTTTTGCGACTGGCAGCCTGATTGATCCCAGTGTGTGGAATGAGATAAATGCTGAGAGGGAAGATATGTATTATCTGTAGGATTCGTCGATTGCTCTCCCTCTCTCTCTCTCTCTCTCTCTCTCTCTCTCTCTCTCTCTCTCTCTCTTCTCTCTCTCTCTCTCCTCTCTCTCTCTCTCTCTCTCTCCCTCCTCCCTCCTCCCCCTCCCATCCTCCTCTCCCATCCTCCTCCCTCCCTCCTCCCCCCCCCTCTCTCTCCCTCTCCCTCTCCCTCTCCCTCTCCCTCTCCCTCTCCCTCTCCCTCTCCCTCTCTCCCTCTCTCTCTCTCTCTCTCTCTCTCTCTCTCTCTCTCTCTCTCTCTCTCTCTCTCTCTCCCTCTCCCTCCCATCCTCCCTCCCTCCCTCTCCCCCCCCTCCTCTCTCTCTCTCCCTCTCTCTCTCCCTCTCCCTCTCTCTCTCCCTC